GATGGCTGTCAAAAACAACACCTATCTAATGGGTCTGAAAAAATAAGAAAGATCCGAGTCAGTTTTTAGGATTCCAGTTTATTAGAATTATCAGACATGCAGCATATCAGATCAGAGTTGATCCCCTCCCCCCTTCTTAAAGTATCAAAAGTAGCAGTGATAAGCAAACAACGTTATGGACACTGATGAGTACCTGAACCTCGTCTTTTCTGTCCTGGTGGATAAGAAATGGATCAGAACCACTGGCTCATGTCTAACCCTCAGAAAACTCTGAGAAGTCTGGTTTGGTTGCAGGGAACAGTAGTTTTTAAGGCAGCATTGGAGAAGAGATGAATTCTGGGAGTGAAAAATAATCAGTAGTTCCACAAATGAAAGAAGGAAGTCCATTTTTTCCTAGCAGACATGGGGATCGTTTGGCACAGATTTGTTTTTACTGTCGGGTGTCTGAACTGAACAATGGTTCAAACCTGACGCATATAAAGGAAAGTGCTTTTTTTAGTCTAGCTCTAAAGCCCCGATCCAGTTTAAGATTTTTGCATTCATGCAGACAAACGTAGTGACTAGAAAAACTGGAAAGACCAAAAGAGAATTAAGCATGAGTTGCAGGGCAGCTATAAGTAATGTGTTACGTTATCTACTGTTAGGCTTCCTGCTGCATCACCAAACTAAGAGTGTGTTGAATGTTTTATTCTTGTTTTTACATTGAGATCAGTTCAATTATGGCAGAAATAACCATATAGACACAAACTCCTCCACTTTGATAGAAATAAACTGAGTTCATTTTTGTTCAGCAGGGTTTTCATTTGACAGTTTCATGTAGTGCAGCAATGTTTCCTCTCCAGCTCAGCTCTGAGGTGCATCATGGGACGGTGACGTTGAATGGAGACCCAGGGATGTGGTCATCGCCCCACTTCACCACCAGGATGTAGTTGCCCTGTTCCTTCAGCACGTAGCTGACGTTGTACTGCAGGTTTCCCAGATGTTTGACTAGAACCTCCTCACAGGGGACCTGAGGGCCATACACGCCCACCAGCAGCATGTTCTTACCTGGGAAGAAATGTAGAAACGCAAACATCAATTCTTATGCCATTTCTGTTTAAGTGCTAGTGGTTGTGTACAAAATAAAGCACAGCTTTACTTGACCTTGATTTAATCTAAATTTGGATATTTTCATTGTTTCGCTCCGATGTGAAGAGGATCTGGATGTAGTCCATGTTCAGATACGTTTGGATAGATACAGTTGGATTCTCGCTCTGGGTTTTATTTACTTGGTGTCCAGAAATACAGAAACAAACCTTGATGCTATCTTTAGAGAAGACGTGTCAAATAGGTCTGGAGTAAAAACTGCTTACAAAGACTTCATTCTTTTACCAATATTTCCCAAATATCCACTGAAATAGTGATGGAGGAAAAATCTATATGTAGCTCATCTGAAAGGTTGCAGCAAGAGTTATAAGGAGAGATATCTCTCATATCCTAGCTTCTCAATTGGCTTTCAGTTAAAGGAATAGTACACCCAAAACATGATTAGCCTTCATTTTCTACTCACCCCCATGCTGAACAACACTCTG